TCCTATTTATCTTTGCCTTTTTTTAAATTAAATTTTTATTTTATTTCCAAACAAAGATCAGCCTTCCCTTCCTCCCACTCTCCTTCCCGCGTGTCTCCCCCTCCCCCCAGCACATTATACATACGTTTAGTCAATCAAAACAAATGTCCATACTGGCCATGTCCTCAAAAACATATCTCATTCTGAATTCCAAGCCTTCCCCCTCTCTACCAGGAGGTGAGTAATAGCATGTCTCATCATTAGTCCTCTGGATCAACAATCCTGATTGGTCATTACTCTAAGAGTTCAGCGCTATAGTATTCCATCACATTGATACATCATAACTGGTTCATCCAGTCCCCAATTTATGGATACCCTCTCAGATGCCTGTTCTCAAAGAGTTAAAAATATTTTTGTACATCCTTAGAATTTGTTTTGCTCAGGACCAATCCTGTCCTTAGGCTATCTTTCCTCTAATTCCTTCTCCTCTCTTCTTCCCTGTCTCTATTACACTGTTGCATTACAGTCATTTCTGTATCCAATTGTGTAAAGATGTGTGTATCCTTCCTTCTTTCAAATAGTTCAAATGACAATATGGTTCAACTGTGAGCCAAATCTCTCCACCCCCTTCTCCTTGCTTGTGATCACTTTCCCCAACCTTCCTTTACTTTGGCCCCAGTGTATTCTTCTTCCTCTCTCTTAAGATCATCAAGACATAAAAGAACCATTCCCAGCACTTGTCTAATTGGATTCCCTCTGTGAATCCTGATGAGATCAGAGGGGATATGTATCATTGTCCATGATTTGCTTTGCTTTTTGGTGCCAAGTTTAAATAGATTTTATTCTCCAAAACAAGAACTGCATTTGCACTTGTTTACAGTACTGATAAAATGCAATGTTCACTTCTCTCCCCTGCACACATTCAACTATTCAGAATGCCCCAGATTTACCTAGTAGCTGAAGTGTTACTTTTAAATGACTAATGCCTTGTCTACACATCTGAGTCCTTTAGTTTTTGAAAAGCTGTTGTGGAATGCTCTCTGTTCTGGTGTGTTTAACTGACCTCTTCAATGGTGGGTCCAGAAGAAACACCTTAGGATGGGGCTGCTCCACCACCCTAGGAATCCACATGCCCCCCTGCATTCTGTCTAGCTTAGCAACGATGGGCTTGCAGACTGTCTCTGATTCTTTCTGCTCAGATTCTTCCTTTTCCTCAGTCTGGTTCTTTTTTGGCAGATGATTATTTCATTACATTTGTCGAGGATCTTTGTTTGTCTGCGTCACCAATTTTGCCCTAGAGCTTCTCATCCCCCAACGTAACCACCATATTGAAAGCATATAAGATTGGAGAGGGTTCTTGGAAGACATCTTGTCTTTCTGCTTCTCGTCTTCAGCTTTCCCTGGACCATACGCTCCATATCTTTTCTGCTCATTGGCGATGGTGATTTTACTCTCCCAGCATGTGCTCTACTCTGCAGCGCAGACATTGAGCGTGCCATTGCGTCAGTGTCAAAGGTTATTTCAGTCCAAGGAACACCCCTAGGGGTAGGACGATTTGCTGTGAGCTCACTTACCATGTAGGCTGTTATCCTTTGTCATTATTTTGTCATTTCCAAGGGATAGAGGATGAACATCCCGAAGTAACAAGTCCTGCACATTCTCATTTTATTTTTTTTACCAGACCAGATGGCAGCCTGGACAGCGGCACCATCAGCAACAGCCTCATCATCAGGATAGATGCCCTTGTTTAATTCTTTGCCCTTGAAGAAGACTTGTAGAAGTTTCTAGATCTTGGGGGTGCAAGCGGAACCACCTGCCAAGACAACATCATAAATCTGTGACTTATCTGGTTCGCTATCCCTTGGGACTTTTCTTACCATGGGGCTCAGTGTGCCATGGGAGAGGTCAGCATCAGTTCTTCAAGATGGCCACGGGTAAAAGAAGTTGATGCCCTCACGGGGGCAGTCATTCTCAGTCCTGGGTTGGGTACTGGAAGAGAGAGTGTGCTTCTCAGATATACAGTGGTGCACAGTTGATGAAGTTGGTGAACAGTTCCCTTGTCACCCCTAATATCCTTCTTGGCTTTTGATTAAACTAAGCAATGAAATGGTGGTCCTTGTAGTTGTCAAAGTCCTCCCTGCACAAGTGGTTAGCTGCAGCTGTGGAGTGGACTTCAAAGATTCCATGTGCAATGGTGAGAATGGAGACATCGAAAGGAATGCTTGCAAGTCTTCTATTTCATTAAAGGTCTATTTGTTTTTCTCTTGTAGCATTGTACTTGATTTTGTTGGGTGTTATTTATTTATTTATTTATTTATTTATTTATTTAGATTTTTTTTTTTAGGCAATTGGGATTAAGTGACTTGCCCAGGGTCACACAGCTACTAAGTGTTATGTGTCTGAGGATGGATTTGAACTCAAGTCCTCCTGAATCCAAGGCTGGTGCTCTATCCACTGCATTAACTAGCTGCCCCCTACCCTTTGCCTTTTGGAATATCACATTCCAAGTTCTCTGCTTCTTTATGTAGTGGCTGCTAAATCATGTGTGATCTTGACTGTGGCCCCTCAATACTTTAGTTCTTCTAAAGTATTTTTTCTTTGACCTTCAAGCTGTGGATTTTGACTGTGATGTTCCTGGGAGTTTTCATTTCAGAGTTTCTTTCAGGAGGTGACCAAGGGATTCTTTTTAATTCCACTTTGCCCTCTAGTTCTAAGAGACTTGAGCAGTTTTCTTTTAAGATCTCTTGAAATAGGATACCTAGCTTCTCTTTTTTGATTATGGCATTCAGATACATTTTTTTCTCTTTGATCTGTTTTCCAAGTCAGTTTTTTTTTCTAGGAGATAACTTACATTTTCTTCTGTTTTTTGGCCTTTTGACATTTTAATATTTCTTGGTGCCTTATGGAATCATTAGCTTCTATTTGGTCCATTCAATTTTGAGGTAATTTGTTGTTTGGGCAAGGTTTTGTATTTCTTGTGCCAAGCTGTTAATTTCCTTTCCAATTCTTTCTTCCATAGCTCTCATTTCTTTTCCATTTTTTCACTTAAATGCTCTCATTCAATTTATAAAAACATTTTAAAATTCCCTCTCTCTCTTTAAACTGTCTTGCTTCATCTCTTCCAGGAATTCCAGTGGAGTTTGTGCCCAAGCTATGTTTTTCTTTGACATGCACTGCTTGTAAATGTTTTGGAGTCCTTCTCTTCTGCTTTTGTGTCTTGAGTGTCATTATGGTGGTTTTGTGTTTGTTTGCTTGTTTGCCTATTCTTCTAGTCTGATTTCTGACTTCAGACTTGATGTTAGGGCTAGGTCCTGAGGCACTTCTGGAGAGAAGGTCCAGGCTGCTCCTGTTGCTGCTTTCTTGGGGGTAGTTAATATCGAGTTATTTCAGAATTTCAGGGACAGGCTGTAGACCTGCACGCTTTTGGTGCCTGATCTGATCCAGGACAAAGTCTGATTGCTATCTCCCTGGTCCAAACTCTGCAAGTTCCTAACCTGGGATTATGTTTGAACAAGAGTAGATGCAACTGCACCTAGCCCTTATCAGCCAGCTGGACAGCTATCTTCTTAGAGTGGCAGAATTGGAGGCTTCTCTTTGGTTTGGAATTCTTGCAGTGTTTATTCCTTTGCTGAGCTAGACATTGGAAGGAGATCCAACTTTGTGCTGAGGTCTGAGCCACATCACTGTTGCTGATAGCTTTTGAACTTCCTCTTTTCTCTGGACACCAACCAAGGCCTTCCTTTCTGGGTGTCCACCATAGTGCCCCTTTTCATTCCACACAGGATCTTCTACCCAAGACTGGATAGAAGGAGACAATGCTACCAGTTTACCTCAGTTTGGGTCTTCGGGGGAAGGGGGTGCCCCTGTTTGTGTCAGGACCCTCCTCCTACCCCAGTTCACAGTCTCTCCCTGGGTGCTAGTGCACTCCCAGTCTGACTCTATCTTTAGTGTCTGCAGACCTACCTGTCTTATGTCCCTTTGCTCAGCTGGGCAGGACAAAGGACTTGTGACTTTTTCTGGATCTCTCTACCAGGATTCCATCTGTGGCTTATGGAGAAGAGCTCACCGCTTTGGTCCCTATCACTCTGACATCTTGGCTGTGCCTCCTTGTCTTTGCATTCTTAACATGTGGCACACGACCACCTGGCACAGAATGGGCACTCAGTAAATGCTTGTTGAGTTTCCTGACCTTTGGAATATTTTGGGTTGCTCCTCTCTAGTCAGTAGGCTAATAAGCATTTATTAAGCACCTACTATGTGCCAGGCACAATGCTAAGTGCTGAGAATACAAAAAAAGGTATAAACTGAATAGTCCCTGCTCTCAAGGAGCTCACAGTCTAATGGGGCGAGACAATATGAAAACAACTACATACATATAATAAACAATATAATCCACAATCCATTACATATTAATAATACATTAATAATATATTATAAAGATACAATGTAGAACAATACATTATCATACCACATTATACCATAATGTATATCAAAATTATGATACATTATACATACAGACACACACAGAGGATCAATTGTAGGTAACCAACAGAGGAAAGGTACTAACATTAAGGGGGAATCTAGTAGTGTTATTAAAGGGAATTGAGGTGCCTTCCAAGCATGTTGAAGCCAGCAGCTTTGCTAGGTGGAGAAGTAGCTGGACATCAGACACTTCTTGGCTGTGTGACCCTGGATAAGTCATTTAGCTTCTGTCTAGCTCAGTTTCCTCATGTATAAAATGCAGATAATCATAGACATCCATAAAGATATAAAATTTCTTATCTCAATTTTGTATGAGACCATACAAAAAGTACATCTATTTGTCAGAGCTCTTCGCACGCCTTAAAGAGGCACATACACAAATGCTAGCGATCAGGATTGATAAAACAAGAAGTTAACTGCAAAAATGACCACTTCCTCATCAATCCCGGCACTCTCCGCACCCACTTCCCGATCAGCACCTCCCGCCCCGGCCAATACCCTCCCTGGGCACATCCCGGCCCGCCGGGCTGGGCGGGTCTGAGCGCCGAGCCCAGAGCGCGTGGCCCGCGGGCGGGCGGGACAGAGGCAGGGGCGGAACGGACGAGCCGGGGGCCGCGCTGCTGCGGGGCCGCTTTGCGGGTGGGACCAGGTGGTCTCCCGGGCAGCGGGGGCAGCGGGGGCAGCGCCATGGCCGGGCGGCGAGTGAACGTGAACGTGGGCGTGCTGGGCCACATCGACAGCGGCAAGACGGCGCTGGCCCGGGCGCTGAGCACCACGGCGTCCACGGCCGCTTTCGACAAGCAGCCGCAGAGCCGCGAGCGCGGCATCACGCTGGACTTGGGCTTCTCGTGCTTCTCGGTGCCGCTGCCGGCGCGCCTGCGGCCAGGGCCTGAGGCCGGGGCCGGCGCCGGGGCCGGGCAGCTGCAGTTCACGCTGGTGGACTGCCCCGGGCACGCCTCCCTCATCCGCACTATCATCGGCGGTAAGGCCGGGGGCGGGGCCGGCCGGCCCGGCGGGGGTCGGGCGGGAGCCGGGGCTGGGGGAGGGGCCGAGCGCTGCCCTCCCCCACCCCCGTCACAAATCCGCGCGGGGGCCGGGGCCGGGGCCGCCCGCTGGAGCGCGTGCCCGTCACCACCGCCCTGGGAGGTCGGGGCTGTTATTTTCTCCATTTTACAGATGAGAAAATGGAGGCCGACATAAGTGACTTGTCCAGGGTCACGCAGCTCAGCAAGTGTCTGAAGCCGGATTTGAAGTCGGGTCTTTCAAATTCCAGGTCCAGCAGTTCTATCCATTGCGCCGCCCAGCTGCTCCTTAACATAGTGCAACTCGTCCCAACTTAAAATGTTGTTGTTTAATAGTTTGCCAGTCGTGGCTGACTCTTTGTGACCCCTTGGGGGTTTACTTGGCAAAGATACTGGAGGGCCAAGTGACTTTCCCAGGGTCACACAGCTAGTAAGTGTCTGAGGCTGGACTTGGGCTCAGGTCTTCCTGATTTTAGGCCCAGCACCTAGCTGGCCCAACATAAGAACATATAACATGGCATAATTTATTTAGCACATTGTAACATGTAACATAACATTAATAATATAAGCGTAACAACCCATAGCCTAACATCATATGGCACATAACATATCATGGCAGTATAGCACAACACATTATAACACACTGACCAAAGGAGCACAGCATATCAAAATATAGCGTACTATATATATAATACACCGTAACACATCATAACATAACATATAATTTAGCTTGACAGTGTGCCACATAATATATCGTAACATGGTATAGCACACCATAACATATAACACAACATATACAATATAACATAAAACATAGCATAACACAAGTTATAACAGTGTAACACAACCATAACATATAGCACATTATAACATGTAATGTAGCAGTATAGCATAGCACAACACACATAATATAACATACAACACAGCAGCATAACCTAACATGTAACATATATAACACACAATACATATAACACATGGTGTAATGCATGACCTGATATACTGCATCGTAACATCTAACATCATACCACATCACACCTTATAATTGCATAGCATAGCATGCCAAAGCATGTAATGTATACCATGTCGTGCCAAGCCTTATATAAAGCACTCTGTGAGCTCTAAAGGCCTCTATAGAATGCCTGCTGTAGTTATTGTTGTCACGTGTGGCCATGGGTAAGTCATTTCCCCTAATGGGGTCTGGAGGTGATCATAGGTTCATAAGTCCAGTGCTGAACAGAAGCTCAGAGTCTGTCTGGGTATTTTGCCTTTCTCATTCTATTTTGCAGAGTAGGAAACTGAGGCAAAGGGCAGTTAAATGATCTGTCCCAGATCAGATCGGTAGAACACAGCAGACGAGAGGGGATCTCTGTCCTCCGTCTCGGGCTGGTTGCTGCCTGTGACCTTCCACACGTCAGTTCGTGTCTCTGGGGTTCACTTTCCTTATCTGTACAGTGAGGAAGGATGGTGTTAGTGGCATTAATGTGGGAATTGGAATCAGAGGGGTTTGGTTGGACTCTGGGCTCTTTCTCTAGCTGTGTGAATCCTGAACAAAAGGTTTTATTTCTCTGGGCCTAGTGTTCTCCTCTGGAAGGTGGGATGATACTCTCTAGCTCCCTGCGCTTATGTTCTGTGGTTCATAGGATCAGTTGACCACCAAATAGTTATTAAATGCCTGCTATGCTTAAGGAACTGTGTCCCAAATGCCCTAAATACAGGTACAAAAGTGACCTGATGCCTGCCCTCAAGGGGCTTAACATGCTACTAGGAGGAGATGGCATACTCACAGACAGGTAAATACATGTGCATCTATATACACATGTACATACACATCTATGATCTGTTTCTGTAATGTTTCTGACTCTTACTGTGTGACCAGGAACAACCATCTTGAATCATAAATGAAATACTTGTACTTCGGAAGTTCTGCAAATGTGTGATTGCTATATCCAGTGTCAGCCACGATTACTGTTGTTTCATTTTCGTTGTATGTAACTCTTTGTGACCTCATTTTGGGGTTTACTTGGCAAAGATACTAGAGTGGTTTGCTGTTTCCTTCTCCAGTTCATTTTACAGATGAGGAAGCTGAGGCAAGAGGGTTAAGTGACTTGCCCAGGGTCACACAGCTAGCTAGTGTCGGAGGCTGGATTTGAACTCAGGTCTTCCTGAGTTCAGAGGGCTCCAGGCTGTAGGCCCAGCTCTCATTCCACTGAACCATTTAGCTGCCTCCTTGTAAAGGTTTGTTGTTTAGTTATTTCAGTCATGTGTGGTTGGTTCTTTGTGACTCCATTTAGGGTTTTCCTGGCAAAGATACTGGAGTGGTTTGCTGTTTCCTTTTCCATCTCATTTTTCAGATGAGGAAGCTGAGGCAAACAGGGTGAAATGACTTGCCCAGGGTCACACAGCTAGGAAGTGTCTGAGACTGGATGTGAACTCAGGAAGATGAGTCTTCCTGACTCCATCCACTGCACCACCTTGATGTCCAAGCTGGTATTAGAGATCATTTAGTCTAACTCCCTCATTTAGGAGGCAGAAACTGGGTACTCAAGACAAGTGACTTAGTTAAACTCTGGGAGAGCTAGGAGTTCCAACTTTATATTGTGGTAAACTTTTTCTACATTGGGCTGGAATAATGATTCTTGTGGGGATTGAGGCTGGTTAGAGCTGAATTCCAGGAGGGTGGTTGGTTAATCAGCTATCTGGTGTGGAAAGGATGCACTAATGATTAACTGCCCTACCTTATTTACTCCGTTTGCTTAAGGGAGGCTTTATCTAAGTTACTTCCCTTCATCATACTTGGACTAGAAGTCAAACCAGAAATTGATGAACCCATTTTATCCTGATCCTTCATTCACCAGCGTTTTTGAATCCTTGCTCTAAACCCGGTGCAGTGGAATGAGAACAAAGTCTGAGAACAGAGAACAGAGAGAAGGCTGGAGAAGCAGTCAGAAGACCCAGGTTTTAGGCCCCGCTTTCACAAGATACTTAGAACCTTAGTTTCCTCCTCTGTCAGCTGGGGATTGAATAGGGACCTACTTTGCAGGGTTATTGAGAGGGTCATGTAGGTGAAAATGCTTTGTAAATTATGAAGTCCCATCAGAATGCAAGGTGAATATAAGATAAATCTTGTCATTTTGGAGATATGGTTTATGTACAGATATAAAGTGGTTAGAGAGTAGCATCTAAGCAAGTGTATAGTAATGGTATATACTATATACTGTATGAGGAGGTGTGGGAGAATAAGGGATCAGCCCGAAGTAGGTTTAGTCTTGGAAGGCTTTTCAGAGGTGGGAAGCATAGTCTCCAATGCAGTGATGGCTTCACATAGCAGTTAACAACGGCCTGGACACAAGTTGTAGCCAGTTTAGCATTCTCTGAACTATGCTTGGTGGTCGTTCATTCCTTTTTCACTTGTGTCCAACTCTTTGTGTCCCCATTTTGGTATTTTCTTGGCAGATACTAGAATGGTTTGCCCTTTCCTTCTCTAGCTCCTTTTATAGATGAGGAAACTGAGGCAAATAGGGTTAAGTGACTTGCCCAGGGTCATACAGGTAGTAAGTATTTGAGGCCAGATTTGAACTCAAGAAGACAAGTCTTCCTGACTCCAGGCCCATGCTCTATCCATTTCACAACCTGGCTAGAACTCATTGCAGTGAATACAGTTATGATGAAATTCAGTATAGCAAGAAGAATTCCAAGACTTGGCTGGCCTGTTTCTTTCTTTCTTTCTTTCTTTCTTTCTTTCTTTCTTTCTTTCTTTCTTTCTTTCTTTCTTTCTTTCTTTCTTTCTTTCTTTCTTTCTTTCTTTCTTTCTTTCTTCTTTCCTTCTTTCCTTCTTTCTTTTTTTTGCCTTTTTTTTTTTTGTGAGGCAGTTGGGGTTAAGTGACTTGCCCGGGGTCACACAGCTAGTAAGTGGCATGTGTCTGAGGCCAGATTTGAACTCAGGTCCTCCTGACTCCAAGGCTGGAGCTCTATCCACTACACCACCTAGTTGCCCCAGATATGGACATTCTTTTTTTGGTTTAAGGCAATTGGGGTTAAGTGACTTGCCTAGGGTCACACAGCTAGTGTCAGGTGTCTGAGGCTGCATTTGAACTCAGCTCCTCCTGACTCCTGGGCCGATGCTCTGTCCACTGCACCTCATAGCTGCCCCTCAAGTACTATTTCTTGCAACAAGATCTCATTACCGCAGATGAATTTGAACGTTTTACTATGTAATATCTCTTAAATCTGCCAGTGTTCAAACTGAACCTTCATAATTTAGGCCCACATCCTCCCTTGTGTAGGCTGTTGTCATAGTCTCCTGTTCAGACTCCTTGCCTCCTTCTCCAGCTCATCCCTCGAGGAGCTGCAGAGTATCCTCTTCATTCATGGGTCAGGGCAGCCACTTCCACATCATCTGGGTAAAAACTCCTGGTTTGGTTGTTAGAAGACTCTGGTGAGGTCTTAGGTCTTCCTCTGACACAGTAGGTTGGCTTTGTGAGAATTGGCTGGGCCCGTAATCCTTCTGCAGAGTTTCTTCATCTGGGAAATGGGCAGAATGCTTAGACTACCTGTTTCACAGCCTTGTGAAGAAATTTGCTGAGTAAAAATGCCATGCAAGTAAATAAATACAAACCCTCTTGCTTGTTATTTAACACTCTTCCTAATCGGGCTTCTGCCAGCATTTCTAGCCTTACCTCCTCTCACTTCCCTTCAGGCTCCTGGGTTCTAGTCAGACTGAGCTTCTTGCTGTTTCTTTTTTTTAAATTCATTTCTAGCCTCTTTCCAACCATACCTTTGCTGTCTTACAGGTCTGGAATGGATTCAGTTTAACAAACATTGACTAAAGCCCCCGATGGTGATGATGATGGCTGACATTTATAAAGTGCTTTAAGCTTTGCACACTCTGGCCAGTAACTCTGCCTCCTTAGACCTCACTTTCTTCATCTGTGACTGCATCAGAGGCCTCTGGGGCCTTTTA